GAAGAACTAGATGGTGCCAGGCTACCACTGCTAATTACTTGAAAAGGATCGCAAAAGAGGGACCTGAATAGAGTGGGAGCACAAAGTGAAACAAAACCCAAAATCGTAAAACTGACTAGGTTTACTGGTCTAATGGATATTTGGAATCCTGACTATGGCCCTTAGCAACTCTTCACTCCTGGAATTATACTCTCCTTTGACTTAGCTTTCAGCCAAAAATATATATAGGCATGGTATACACTCCTCAGAATAACCAAGCATACAAAATCAAAAGGACAGCATTTGTTAATGGATAAAAACTCTTGAAAGCAAGAAGGGACAGGAAAGAAGGATGAAGAATAATGGAAAAACACAGGAAGGGCAGAAGTGGGAAGAGTGCTGGTATATCTTGGGGACTGAAATCAATGTATGAATTGTTGAGTGGAAAACCAATTTACGCTGTAAAATTTTAAATCATAATAAATTTTTTTAAAAAAATCACACATGTAAATATATGTATGATTATGGGGGAAATAGACCTATGTGCATATATTTATAGGTTTAGTAGTAGAGTAGCAGGTGGACATTGGGCCTCCTTGTGCGCATTCCCTTAATACAAGAGCACCTTGCTCAGCTAAATGGTCATTTCATGATACCCACCTTCCCGACATGATCGCTGAAGACAGACATGTGCATAAGCAAATGTGGTGAAGAAAGCTGATGGTGCCCGGCTATCAAGAGATATAGCGTCTGGGGTCTTAAAGGCTTGAAGGCAAGCAAGCGACCGTCTAGCTCGATGTAACAAAACCCACAGAGAAGAAGCACACAAGCCTGTGTGATCACGAGGTGTTGAAGGAATCAGGTAGCAGACACCAAAGACCAAAAACCATCATTGTGTGCTCACCTTCCCCACATAAACATTGAAGACGAATGTGTGCATAAGTAAGTGTGGTGTAGAAGGCTGATGGTGCCCAGCTATTGAGAGCTATAGCGCCTGGGGTCTTAAAGGCTTGAAAGTAAACAAGCGGCCATCTAACCCAGAAGCAACAAAGCCCACATGGAAGCAGCACACCAACATGTGTGATCATGAAGGGCTGAGGGGACCACGTTTCAAGCACCAAAGGCGGGAGGGGAGGAGGGGAGGAATCATATCATCGTGAATGAGGGGAGCGCATGATGGGGACCCAATGCCCATCTGTAGACAACTGGATATCCCTTGCAGAGGGCTAGTGGGGAGGAGATGAGTCACTCAGGGTTCAGTGTAGCAATAATGAAACTCACAACCTTCCTCTAGTTCTTAAATGCTTCCTCCCCCCTACTATCATGATCGCAATTCTACCTTGCAAACTTGGTTAGACCAGAGGATGCACAGCAGTACAGATGGGAACTGGAAGCACAAGGAATCTAGGACAGATGAACCCCCCCAGGAGCAGCGGTGAGAGTGGCGATACCGGAAGGGAAGTGGGGGTAGAAAGGGGGAATCGATCACAAGGATCTGCATATAACCTCCTCTCTGGGGGATGGGCAACAGAAGGGTGGGTGAAGGGAGACGCCGGGCAGTGTAAAATAAGATAAAATAATAATTTATAAATTATTAAGGGTTCATGAGGGAGGGGGAGCAGGGAGGGAGGGGGAGGGGAAAAAGGAAAACGAGGAGCTGATTCCAGGAACCCAAGCAGAAAGCGAATTTTGAGAATGATAAGGGCAACAAATGTATACGTGTGCTTTACACAATTGATGTATGTATGGATTGTGATAAGAGTTGTATGAGCCCCAATAAAATGATTTTTTAAAGTCACACATACACATATACACCAGCACACTGCCTTCAAGTCTATTCTTGCTCATAGCAACCCTATAGAACTGCCCCATAAGGTTTCCAAGGCTGTAAATCTTTACAGAAACAGACTGCCCTAACTTTCTTTGAGCAGCTGATGGGTTCAAACTGTAGACCTATTTTAGTTAACAATGGAACCTTTTACCACTATACCACTAGGGCACATTGCTCATGAGGTTTAACACGTAGTTACATTATTGGCCATTGTATTTCGTCTTTTGTGAATTTTCTACTGATGTGCTTGGCTCATTATTTTATTATTTATTGGGGTGTTAGAATTTTTCTTTACAGATATAGATAAATCTTTAAGATATGGAGGGTATTGACCACAACTTTTTTTATTTGTGAGAATTTAAATATTTTAAATCTTTTTTTATTTTTAACATTTCTTTTCTGCATTTTTAATCATTTTATTGGGGGCTTGTGGTTGTTACATAATCTGGTGTCAATTTGGGACTTCAGATGATTAAGAGTGAAAGGGTGGATTCTAGTCTGTCAATAAGATCATAGCCAATGAGGCCCCTGTGTGGGCATGGCCTTTTCCCGAGAATTCTGAGAACTCTTAGAATTTCCTCCATGGAGGCTGGAGACACTTTTATCTCTCTACTCACGCCCTGGAAGACACTCTACTGACAAGACACATGGCGCTATACCCTGGGAGCTGGAGAAGCCACATGGACATACTGTGATGCAACCAGAACTCTGGAGCTGGAGAAGCCATGTAGATAGCCCTGTCAGTGCTGAGATGCTTACAACACCACTGGATCCAGAGACTTCTAACTCACTACTGCATTCAACATCATTGCATGTCTTTTGTGAGGTCTGAAGAGGACTTTATAGATTGATATCGGATATATGACTGGACTGGGACACTTTCTCAATATTCAATTGCTCTTGTCTATAAACCTCTTTCTTATATAGAGAGTGTCTATGAATTTGTTTCTCTAGTCTACCCAGACTAATACAGGGCTCTTACAGCTCTTATCACAATCCATACATACATCCATTGTGTCAAGCACATTTGTACATATGTTACCATCATAATTTTCAAAACATTTCCTTTCTACTGGAGCCCTTGGTATCGGCTCATTTCCCCCCTTCTCCCTATCCCTCGCTCATGAACCCTTGATAATTTATAAATTGTTTTGAGTAAGTAAATCTTATGAAAGATAATTAGTCTATCCATTTTCCAATGTCCTGGCCCTACTCGGTACTCTCCCTGATGAGGAGATGACTGATGATATGGGTACTGTAGCAAACTGTGGTGAAGAAATCCAATGACTCCCAGCTATCAGAAAGAATAGCTTATGGTTTGTTTTTTTTAAAGATCTCTTAGATTTGCATACTGTTCTTTTGTTTTGCCCCAACAGCTTTATTTGCATATAATTCACATATCACACAATTCAATAGTTCATTCACATCAAGAAGAGTTGTACAATCATCACCGAAACCAGTTTTAGAACATTTTCTTCATTATTGTACTTATTTTTAAAAATTGTACTCATTGTTATTAGCTCCCCATTTCCCCCCAACTTTCCCTGCCTACCACCAAGGAATCATAAATCCAGTTGCTGTCTCTATAGAGGTGCCCATCCTGGATTTCACATATAGAAAAACATTAAAAAACAAACAAACTAACAACAAAAGTAATTAAAACAGATAAAACCTTAATAGAAAATAATATTAAAACTAGAAAATATTTAAATGCATCATAAGGGAAATCAAATGATAAAATGCTAAATTTTAAGCTAACTGCATCTGCAATGATCCACTTTTCAATGCATTCTTCACAATAGCAAGGCTATTCACATCCCTGGTCCATGATCAGAGGGGATTCACTAGGGTCCCCTTCACTTTTTAAAAAACTGAAACAATTTTTAAATGGGTCAGGTAAAATGATAAGATATTACCGTTTGATCTAATGATTTCTGGCATAGTCGGCACTGCAATGCTCTCTGTCTCATAACAGAGCTATTCACATCCCTCAACTATGATCAGAGGAGATTCACCAGAAGCTTAATTCATATGTGGACCCTGCAAATGGATCTTGGACTTCCGCCATCATTCGGAACCTTGTGAAAACCAGGTGTTCACAATCAATTTAAACTCTGATACCATTCACTCCTTTATACTTGGATTATATATTTACAATCCTTGGATCACACAGGCTTGTGTGCTTATTCCATATGGACTTAGTTGATGTCCTGTGACGTCTTAAAGAGGGGAGCGGGGAGGAAGGGGAAAAAATGAGGAGCTAATACCAAGGGCTCAAGTAGAAAGCAAATGTTTTGAGAATGATGAGGGCAACAGATGTACAAATGTGCTTGACATATAATGTATGGATGTATGGATTGTGATGAGAGTTGTAAAAGCCCCCAATAAAATGATTATTTTAAAAAAAAAAAGCTCATCTCAAAACAAGCAGTCATCTAAGGGAGGAAAGCTAAGTTCACACGGAAAAAGCACACGAGTCTGTGTGATACAAGGATTGTAAATAATATAATCCAAATATAAATGAGGGAATGACATCAGAGCTTAAATTCCAAACACCCACTTCACTGAAGGCTGTGGATGACAGTGGAAGACCAAAATCCATTTTCAGGGTCCCTACATGGATTGAGTATCTGGTGAATCTTCTCTGACCATAGTCTAGGGATGGGAATAGCCTTAATATCAGACAGAGAGCGGTGTAAAGTAGATTTTAACAGCAGTAGTTAGGCTGAAATGTAACAGATTTTCATTTGATCTCCTTTTTGACCCATTTTGAATTTATTCCACTTTTAAAAATACTTCTGCTTTCTTTTCAATTGAGGTTTTCCTGTTGTTGTTGTTTTCCTCCAGGGGGTTATTGTTGCTGGGCCTATTTTTGTTTTTTTGTCATTGTTTTGTATATTTTTCTGTATAGGGAAATCAGGAGGGGTGGATCTATGGAGACAATAATTGGATTAATAATCACCTGGGAAAATGGAAGGGGAGGTGGGAGGAAATGGGGAGTCACCATCAATGGATGCAAGGAGGAAGAAAATGTTCTATAGTTGATTGTGTGGATGATTGCACAGCCCTTCTTACTGTGATTGAACTATTGAATCATATGATATTTTAATTATATCTCAATAAAACTATTTTAGAAATCCCCCAAATCGGATGTCTCCTAATCTGTGTATGTAGGAACAAGTCATATTACCTTAAATGATGCAAGAGGATGTTCTGATCCCAGGAGGCCCCAGTGAAAGGAGGCCAAGTCTTCATCTGGGAGAATGTGGTTACCTATAAAGTACATGTGATCTGTCACTCAACAAATGTTTTTTTAGAACCTCTAGGTAATAAAAGAGGTGCTGAGAGAAATAATTCCCATGAGTCTATATAGTTATAGTTAATGTAATAAAAACAATTTTGTTGTTAGGTATCATTGAGGCAGTTCTAACCCATAGTAACCCGATGTAGAATTGAATCAAATGCTGCCTGGTCCTGTGCCATCCTAACAATCTTTGCTATGTTTGAGTTCATTGTTATAACTATTGTATCAATCATTGAGGGTTTTCCTCTTTTCCACTGATCTATGCTTTACTAACATGGTGTCGCTGAGACATGATACTAAAGTTCATGCTGTCAGTACATAGAAAATCAATTAAAAACTTTGTTAACTGCAATTTACTTTGAGTTTAATATATGTAAAATATAAATTGATGGATGGCTAAATATAACATAAAGCAAGTAGAGTGAAATGAATAGAATACATGGAGAAGATAGTAGAATACAGGTGGTGGATATAGGGTCTTCACTGAAAAAGTTTTTCAACTTTGATGTATATTTCCAAAATTTTTATAAAATGCTGACACAAAAATAACAAAATATAATCGATAGTTTGTGTTCTTGGCTTAAATTTTTGCACTCGAAGAAAATGTTAATGTAAAGAAATGTTTTGAGGGGAGAATTTAAGTTGTCTAGGTCTAGGAAATAATTTGGCCCAGAAGAGTACTATGCATAAAACGGTTGTGAAATATAACATCAAATTTTTAAAAATCAAAGTAATATTCTGGTATACCTATAGTAATCCACAAGACAAATCTGCTGAGTTTCCGTGTGTTCTAGTCAGGAGCCCCAAAACCTGTATTCTTCTCCAGCACAATGTTTACAGTGTGGAATTAAAGATGAAAAATCACCCATATTAAGCAATGAGATTGAATCTATAATAAAAAGCCTCCCAACATAGAAAACCCAGGAATAGATGGCATCAGTGGGGATTCCATCGAACATTTAGAGAAGAACTGACAACATTCCTGTTCTGACTCTTCTAAAGCAGAAAAAAAGGACTATCCCCTAACTCTTTCTATGAAGCTAACATTACTCTGGTACCAAAGGCATTCAAAGGAACCACAAGAAAAGAAAGGGAAAGAAACAAATCAGAAAAAAACCGGTATTCTTAACAGTACAGATTATAAAAATGTCAACAAAATATTAGCAAACAGAATTACACATCATGATTATGATGTATTCCAGGAATGCAAAGTTTGTTCGATATTAGAAAATCAGGCAGTGCAATACATCACATTAATAGAACAGAAGAAAAGAGCAACTTGATCATCCCTATAGATATTAAAAAGACATTTAATAAATCCAGATACAGATAGATTAGATAGATATATATCATAATAATACCGAATAACAAAGACTAAAGAAGCCAAATAAAAATGACACAAATAACAAATTTTTATCCCAAAATATTAAATGGAGAGTTGAAGAAACAGAGTGGAAAGATAGACACAGTGAAGTCAGTGGGAAAATAGAGATTCATGGATTGAATACTCTGCTAGCTAACATGGCACATAATGGCCATTTGAGGATGGCATCAAACAACTACCTGGAGTGAAGAACTCAGGAAAACCTCAAGGAGAATACTGTAAGTGGAAGAGATTCTGTGAAAATAACCCTGGAAAGATTATACATGGTGGGTAGGATATATTCTGGGCAGGCAACCTTGAGAGGGTGAGGTGTGGGAGTTGGCGTGGTTTAGAAATCAGAAAACCACAGGGAATTGCTTCTTCCTCTGGGAGGCAGACTGAATTGTCAGAATTAGGGAGACTGTATTGTCAGAGTCTAAGGAAAGGAGAGGTAAAATAGACATGGAATACACATTTGTAGAAAGTAAAATGAAGGAACAGAAAGGAAGGAGCATACTCTAGTCCCTCTGGCAAGTGCAAGAAGGGAGGGAGCTAGGAATTATTGCAAGGACCACTTCTCAGTGGTGGTGCCTGACCATTTTACACAGGATGGCCTAAAATGGAAACCGAAATAAGAACCCAGATTTATAGGACTGTTTGAGAATGGTGGACTCCTCTAAACTATTTCTCTGAGATAGTCTTTAACTTGAACTGAAACTAACCCTTGAAGTCACCAAAGTCACTAAACAGATAGAGAATATTAAGTACTGTACTCCTTTAAAAATAAATCACCAACGAGGCAAAATTATCCGTGATTTAATTAAAATAAAGATGAGAATGTAAAGGGGCAGGAAAAATATATTAATGGGAATGGAACAACCAAAATGAAAAGAAATAATGAGGATATTCACACATTGTAAAGAATGTAAACAATGTGAACAAATAATGTGTACAATTTATTGAAAGGGAACCTAAACTGCAGTACTTAGGATCATCAAAGACACAACAAAGTATTAGTCTTTTTAAAAAGAAGAGAAATAAAATTCTAATGGGCCAAATAACTCTGCTCTTCATCTTAACACTGGGAAAAGAATTTTTACCAATCACTAGATTGTCATCCTTGGACTACCTACCTAGCACAGCAGCAAATTTGGGGAAAATTTGCTTGGCCACTTCCTGCATCAGGAACTGATTGGTAGTGAGATTCTTTCCATTCCAGCTTAGCGTCACAGCATGGGAACTGTAGTAGGAGGGAATATTTTTTTAATTAAATAATTTTATTGGGGGCTCGTACAACTCTTATCACAATCCACACATACATCCATTGTGTCAATCACATTTGTACATTTGCTTCCCTCATTATTCTTAAAAATTTGCTTTCTACTTGAGCCCCTGGTATCTGCTCCGCATTTTTCTCTCCCTGCTTGCTCCTCCCCCCTCCCCCATTAACCCTCAATAATTTAGAAATTATTATTATTTTGTCATATCTTGCAGTGTCCAATGTCTCCCCTCACCCACTTCTCCGTCATCTGCTCCCCAGGGAGGAGGCCATATGTAGATCCCTGTAATCTGTACCCCCCGCCCCACCTTCCCTCTACCCTCAGGGCATCGCCATTCTCACCACTGGTCCTGAGGGGTTTGTCTGTCCTGGATTCCCTGTGTTTCCAGTTCCTATCTGTACCAGTGTACATCCTCTGGTCTAGCCGGATTTGTAAGGTAGAACAAAAATTCCTACCATTGTGAATGAGGGGGAGTGCAGAGTGAGGACACAAAGCCCATCTGTAGGCAACTGGACATCCCCCTTACAGAAGGGTTGCGGGGAGTAGACAAGTCAGTGAGGGTGCAGTGTAGCAACAATGAAACATACAACTTTCCTCTAATTCTTACTTGTCTACTCCCCGCAACCCTTCTGTAAGGGGGAATTTTTGTTCTTTGATGCCTGATACCTGATCCCTTCGACACCTCATGATCACACAGGCTGGTGTGCTTCGTCCATGTTTCTCAGCTAGATGGCCACTTGTTTATCTTAAAGCCTTTAAGACCACTGATGCTATGTCTTTTGATAGTCAGGCACCATCCGCTTTCTTCACCACATTTGCTTATGCACCTGCTTTGTCTTCAGCGACTGTGTCAGGAAGATGAGCATCTCAGAGTGCTGGATTATTAGAACAAAGTGTTCTTGTGTTGAGGGAGTTCTTGAGTAGGGGCCCAATGTCCATCTGTTTCCTTAATACTATAAATATATGTACATAGATCTATTTCCCCATCGTCATATATAAATATATTTACCTATGTGTATGCCTGTGTTAGATCTCTATAAATGCCCTTTGCCTCTTTGTTCTTTTTTCTATTTCTTTTTACCTTCCTCCTGTCCCACTGTCATGTTCAACCTTCATTTGGGTTTCAGGAATTCCTCTTGGTTACATTTTCTTTGATCCAGCCCTGCCAGAGCTCCTACACCCTCCTAGCCATCGATTTTCAGTCACTAGTCCCTGGGTTTGTTAACACCCACTTCCTTTCTCCAGCGCCCCCCATGCCCCCGCCTCCCCCTCTCCCATGTCATCCCATTGTTCCCTCTTCCGGCTTGTTTATCCCGCCTATCCCATCCAGATAGACATACAGCAACAACAATATGCACAGACACAAGGAGGAGCACAAGGAAGCAACAATAGAAAATAAAACAATAGCTGCAACAACAACAAAAAGGCAACAACAACCATAACAAAAAAAACCCCTAAAATAGTTCAAGATCTATTTGTTGTCCTTTCTGAGTGTTTTCCAGTCGAGTCTGATGGGGCACCACGCTCTGGAACCAGTCTATTTTTGGTATTCCCTGGGGACATCATTGCTTTGCTCCCCTTGCTGCTCTGTTGCATGCCCCCAGTGTCTGACTTCGGTGTAGTGGGCTCAGGGTCTCACAATTCCCACCATGTGTTTCCAGTGTTGTCCCCGGTGGTGCTATGGGTCAGTTAGGAACGTTGTGTCTCGTAGTGGAGCTGGCCCTATGGTCCTCTTTGCGTATTGGCTGCTCTGAGCAGAACTATTGTCCTCAGGGCTTGGTGGGCCAGAATGTGCTTCACACTTCCCGGCCCTTCCCCCCACCTCCTTGGCTCCTGTGTGCTCTGATCAGACAAGTCCCTCTCCTTGAGCTGTCGCTTTAGTGCTGTCCTCTGAAGTGAATTTTTCGGGGGGGCTGAGGGGGAAGGAGGTCTGTCCACTTAGTTGGTAATGGGGCCGGCCCCTCAGGCCTCTCTATTGGTTCCCTGCTTCATGTCAGTGTGTTGCATTCTTGTCTTGGAGCACTGGCTTGAAGTCTGGTCCCAGTAAGAGGGAATATTGTAGAGAGCATATTCAGAGTCATGGACAAGAAGGCCATGGAAACTGTTTTCCCTAAAAAAAGTTACTGCTTCCAAATGGTGGTCCTCCAGGCTCTGAAAGACCTGGGGGAGGGAAGAAGACAAGAGAAGAACATGCTATGATGACTTGTCTTTGGTTAAAAGTCAGAAGGGCTGGTAAATATATTTTGTAGTTCTCAAGAAGAAAGAAAATGTTTTGAAAATGGTGATGGCAACATAAGTACAAGCGTGCTTGATACAATTGATTTTTAGATTGCTATAACATCTGTAAGAGCCCTCAATAAAACGATTAATTTATAAATTTATAATTAAAATTTTATAGTTTGTTAAAATTTATTATTATATAGGAAAATTAAAAATAGAATAAAATAAGCATTCCACCTTTGTTAGAAATATAATAAAGTTACTGTTTACTAATAAGTATATTCTATGTGCTCTGTACTTTACATATATTGTCCTTAGAACAATCTTGACAGAGTAGCTAAGGACGAAAAAGCTTCTATGTGGAAACAGACTTGTAGTGACTCCCTGTGGGTTTCTGAGACTATAATGGCTTAATAGGGGCAGAAAGCCCAGTCTTTCTCTCACAGAGCTGCTGGTTGTTTTGAATTGCTGATCAAATCCACACAACATATAACCATTATGCTACCAGGAAACAGACACAGGATAACATATGGCTTGAATCTGAATTTATTTGACTCTTTTTAAAAAGTCTTTTTCCTTCCCCACCCCAAAAACACCTTAGATCACAGGGCACACAAAAAGCACACTATATGTCCAACAGGCAGAAGTAATCCCATTTTAGAAATAGGGAAATTCAGAGCGGTTGACTGCTTTCAAAGTGGCAAGACTAAAAAGCCACACTTTCCATTGCACCAGCTAAGTTTTTTTTTTAATGTTACAGAGGCAAACTGTTAAGTGCACAGCATCATGCCTAATGCTGCCTCTAAAACATACCAAAATTATCTGTATATTGCCTCCACCAGACTGAAAACTCTATATTTCTGACATTCTCTCTCCACAATTTACTTTGAAATACATGTTTAAAAGGTAAATTGATGGATGGATAGAAATATGAGTAAGATATTAAGGGTACATACAATAGTGGTATGCATAAGGTCTTTTTTTTTTAAGTAAACTATTCTTTTATTTGTCACCCCACGTGTTAATATGGAACACTGTTAAAGTAACAGTAATTTAAAAAACAACAGCCAGTGAACCAACCATTGGTATTTAAAATTAATAATTAAAAGTTTAATGGAAGCAAGTGTCTAAGGTAACTAAGACACTTCATGACAGCTATTAATTCAACCTCCACTTATTGGAAACTTAATAACTCAATGTAAATTAACCTAAAGTACGCATTTAGAGATAGGATAAAAGTATAAGTTAGTAATGTATTAAATAAGACTTCAGAAAGACCCTAGTAAGTTCACTCATACTAGGGGTATTTCAAAAGTTTATGACTAACCATTTTACCGCACACATTTTGAAGCCCCCTCATGCATGGCCTTATTTAAAGCAATTTATTTGTTTTCACTAGCAAAATATATGTCAATAATGTATTTGGAAGCATTTCATTTTCCGGATTTTTCACTAGCTTGAACAAGTCATTTCAGTGATGAGTCTGAATTCCTATTAACACTTAAGCCTTTAATGAAGAAGTGCTACTGAAAAGAAAGAAAATTCTCTGCAGCCTGCTTATGAATAGAAAATAAATCTTTGGGATTTTTTAATAATTAAAGGCACAGGAACATTTTTACAAACAAATTAAAACACTGAAGAACCAAAGTATCTCTGCAGAGAGTGCTAGTGGTCCAGTGACATGAATTTTTACCATCATCAGGTGATACAGGTGAAAAGGTCATATTCAACAGTCACATCTACCCAGAAGAGACAAGAAACAAACCAAGGCCAGATATCTGTGCTCCAATGTTCATTGC